GGTTAATGGGGAGTAGAGACGATAAAATGGATCGCAGATTTGGAGCCAAACTTTGGACTTTCTCAGGTGTCCACATACTTTTGGTACAAACAAGGAAATTCTATTCAAAAATATGTTGTGGAAGTGAAGCTTAGTTATCGCTCGAGTGCCCAATTATAGGGTTATCGGCCACGAGGAATCGATTGAGGAAGGATCCAGATCGAGAAAGTCTTTTGGTTACATTTTAAAACTAGATTTTGGGGTGTCCAGATACTTTTGTTACGCACTGTACAAATAGAGATGTTTGAGTGGAGGAAAAGATCCAGATCGATGAAGTATTTTTGTAAACGTGATGTTTTCCATGTCTGCCTTATCAAGTACTTAAAAGCAGATGTAGTTATTATTGCAAGAGACTGGTTGGGTGGGTTTCAGTTGCACCATCACCTCATGCCAGAGCAGAAGGCAACGAGCAATGATCGGCAGGGCGCTGGGCGGCGGACAAGGCCACGATGTTGCTGCGAGAATTGTGGTATGCTGCACGTTTAGTAGTAATCTTCATAAATCCTATGAATCCTATACTAATTCCTGCTGACGTTTCAGACCTCGACTCTGGATGTCAAGGAGATCGACACAAAGGCTCCGGTTCAGAACTTCCACGAAGGTACGTGATTCTTACTCGTCGCTCAGCTAAGTGGAAATGCTCCTTTCCCGTGCAGTGGCTGGACCTGCCCCCTTGAGGACTCATTGTGGTGTCCCAATCAAATTGAAGCAGAGCTTCTGCAGTTCAGAAAACGTTAGTAGTAGCCGGTATCTGGGAGTCAATTCCTGAGCCAGGATAGGAACAGAGGTTGGCGCAGTATGAGGAGGAGCCAGAAAAGCGAGAATCGGCTATGTCATAATCAGGAGGGGCATACCCACTTTCTGCTACCTGCGCGAGAGAGGTTAGTGGAAGGGTGACATGTTCTGACGCTGATGAACACCCAAAGACCGCTATTGTGCTCCTATCAGTGCTTAATTTATACGGTGCCCTCTCAACACGCTAAATCTCGTACTCAAGACAATAAATATGGTCCGAAGGGACAGGGAGAGTCTGGAACAGGGAGATCTGTACGGCTTCCTGAAGAGGAGGAGGTGCCGATCAGATTCTTCAATTACGACCGTCACCACCTACAGCTGCTGTCGTCTCCCTTCTAACGCGCAGCCACAACATTGTTGCACGCCTGACCGACACCACCGAATGTGAATGGCATAAGCCTAAAGCACACCCGCTGACAGAGATAAGGTGAGGTCGAGCTATGAGTTGTTGGTGACTGTCTTACCATCATTGTTCTCTTCTGCTTTGTCGTGGAGGTATAGTCACTGCCGACGAAGGGGCGTGTCAAGCGTAGTGAGTCTGGCGCCGTGCCAAAGCCGTTCTCCACCCTGGTTGAAGCGGGCGGGCTAGTGATAAGACCATGTCATATCGGTCTTGTCAGTTGTTTCCTACCTATCTTTGTCGTATACACGCTTCAAAAACTGGCCGAGTACGGGTTTGGTACACTCATACTGCCTGGCACGCCCCTTCATGCGCTGCAAACTAGAGTATATCCAGCCAACGAGTGATAGCCTATTTTTTCACAGGTACATTGCTCTTTTCAGATGCCTGGTCATTAAAAGAACTCATCCTGAAGAAGGCATAGAAAGAACGGAACTGCGTTTGGTCACCTACCAAAAAGCTGGCGCCAAAGTTGATGTGGGTTTATTGACCGCTTCCATTTAGCCTGAAATGGACCTTGAACCATGTTCTCACGGGACATTTTCTCGTGTTATCAAACTCAGCATGACTGCTTTATGGTTTTACAGCAAGCTCATGTTTTAATGGAGGCAGCTCGATATCTTCAAGAAAGAGCGGATGATGCTGATTGTACCGAAACAAGAAAACGTGGAGGCCGTAACCGACCACAGCCTTATCAAAAAGAGTCTAGCTTCTGCGCTAAGGTACCTGAAATCTTAAGCCTCTCCAACACTGGCCAATATTCTGGAATATTCTTTATTAATCAAGGAAATAGACATAGGCGGTTTGAAGGCAGTTGGCACGATAAATCCCCCGAGACGAGTGTAATAGTGCGTCTGGCAGTACGAAATTCCGTGACCCTGAGCAGGCGCTCCCAAGGTAGGTGCCCTTATAAGGGCCCTATCAACGCGCAAAATAATAAGGGCCTTATCAACCGCAAATACGCCGACCGGAACACAGAGCCGCACACAGGCCGCCCGCCCGCCGCCAAATGAACGTCCGTTCCATCAAGCTGCTAATCGACTTATTTGCTAACAAATTATGAGTGAAGGATTGGTATGAAGCGGCCGTGATGCTGCATGGATATATGAGTACACATATGCAGCCGTACCTTCGGTAGCGGTTATTGGCAAGATGCCTACAGGAAACTCGTCCAAAATTGATTTCTAACACTTGAAAGAGAGCTTCTTCGAGGATTTTTAGCCGTGTCGCGTGTGTCTTCGCCATTTCCACACACTAATATAGCGCCCTACTAGCATTTCGGCCGAGGGCACCAATCATCGGCCAACTGCCTTGCGAAGGGCACTGAGTAGAGCGCGGTCATTTTCCGTAACTTTGACATGCGACTCTCTCCACCGCTGATCGCTGAACCCTTGCAAGGCCTAATTAAGTTGCATGGGGGGAAAGATTTATTCTAGCCACTCTCCTTTGTGTGTCGGAAGCTTGCACCCGATGGATAAATTCTTGTACCATCAAGCTAAATAATTCGTTCACTCACTGCTGAATGTCGGACTGAATTTGCACTGATGGTTAGAAGGATCCATTTCTTCTCTAAGACAATATCCCGGAGACTCCAGACGTCTTTGCACTAAACCTGAGCTTTAAACCCATGCGTGACCGTGGCATCATCGCAGGCAAGCGAGCGCAATGGCACAGTATATGTCCCCATGCAAATAAAACCAGACCAAGTGAGTGAAGGCAGTGGCATGCGTACTTCGTTTCAACCGCGGCTCGAACTTCGACCAACTATCACGAATTACCTGCGCCGGCGAGGAAGGTACACATCAACCGCATTCTACCCCCTCTGCCATCTCCACCCAATGTGGATCTCGCAGGCAGAGCACGTGCAAGGAGAGTAATCGGCCGGCGCTTTCTGTGTCCTTTCCATAGAAGGTAAAACCCTTACTATGGGGCAGAGCGTACATAGGGTAATTAAACGACTGTGCCAACTAAATGGTAACGCACATTACATTGCAGCTATTGCCTACACCTATAGATACGAGGCCAGGCCAACTGCTGGGTCTCCACTCATGAAACCTGAACATCACCGGAGAGGAGGATGGAGAGTGGTGCACTGAGGAAAAACTCAAAGTCAGGGGTTCGGTGGGTTCTGTGAGCACAGCAGGACCAGTGGCTATGCCACAAGCCATGTACAGACGGAGATCCTAGCAAATTTTTTTAATAGTAAGACTATGTGAGGAGTGTGGGCAATTGAAAGTCTGAAAAAGACAAGAAGCGCTGGCATAAGAGAAGTGTAAGACAGAACTTCCATAAGAGAAGTGTTGCGCGCAGAATCTCCGGACACTTCAGCGAATGCATAAAAATGAACCAAGTTTCACTAATTTCAGTGAATCTTTGTGCCTTTCGGTCTGTCGCGGTACGGGCGCCGATCATACCTCGGGTCGGTGTCCGTAACGCCCGATACGAGGTGTGACATGATATAGCTGGGCGACATAGCATCTAGGCAGTTCGGGATCACGCTGCCGTCTCCCAGAGGTCTTCCCAGGGCTGTGCCGTTTCCTCCCTCAACTGAGGAATACACTACCTGGACTGTGCCAAGGGACAGCCTACTAGCGCTCATGACGGGTCCCTTGCCCTGGCTCTCCATCTTTCCTCAGACAACAGCTAATACACATGAATTACAAGAAACTCAGATTTATCGGAGGCGTGTCCCTTCCATATGCGGCGGTCTAGTGTGAGACCACTTCCGCTGTGGAGACTGACCAAGCGTCCAGTGACGGCGTCAACATACTTCGTCTTTCAGTGCGCTGCCATCCCTTCTGATGACAGACGTAGCCCAACAACCGACTGCGCCCTCAAGCCAAGCGGAGCAAGCTCCGGTGGGGGAGGCTGGGCTCAGGTATACCGGCGTTCCAGTGAGGACGGCCACGGTGTGTACGATCACACTGCAGCGCTCACCCCGTGTCGTCCATAGTATACTTCGTGCCGCCTTGCCATCATTCAGCATCTTGCCCCGAGGTCACCTTCGACCGGCAGAGGCGGCGGAGAGAACGACCTTGGCTGGAAGGGGGGTTGCTAAAGGTCCACAGACAGCTTGGACTGAATTCCTTTGGACGTGTCGAATTTGTGCCCTTGTGCAAGGTAGAATGCGCTAAATTCGCCGAATGGTGGCAGTTGTTTTTATCAAAATGTAGGGAAATGAGTTGAAAATAGCTCAACATCAGTCATTATCTACCAACATCTGGTCCCTCTTGCTTACTACAGACCTTCAACCGTGAGAAGG